CTGCAGGAAACAAAAGTCCTTTACAACTGTTCATACTAGGGATGCAAGAAATTGTGGAAGAAAGTGGTATTGTGGCATCAGAATACTTTCAAAGCCTTATTCAGGTAAACGCAATAATGCATATGATAGACACAGTTCCCCAGGCATTAAAGCCACACTGGTTAACAATCTCAAGTGGCCTGCACTAAATATTGAGTTTTAATTAACCACCCCTTCAATTTAAATACAGATGACGATCGAAACGATGCCAAGATTCCTTGTTTGCAAAGTTAATTTAAGGCAGTCATAACCAGTGTTTTGCGGTATTAAATCTCCTTTCAACTATATTTCAGAGGGACTTGGAGGGATACAGTGTGGATCCTACGGCTTACTTTCATGACAGCACAGATGATGCACTACAGAATGAGGTTGTTGTCCCCCCAACACGGTGTCCGTTAGATGCTGATTCGTTTACGATTTTTGAGGCAAGCATGTCAGAAGTCCAAGGCGAAGATCCATGGGACATGTATCAAATGGGACTTTTAAACAGTATAGTAAGTTAAAACGTAACGGCTTTAAAAATTGCGCAAAAAACGTCCCTCGCTTTTCTTTTGTATTAAGTTGGATGAGTATTTGGCATCATTAACACACAAACTTTGCTCGTTTCAATGTATTTTCATTTCGTTCATCTCAGGCCCATTTCAGAATTTTCGCCTCTACAGTGCTGCTGTAAACTAAATTCAACTTATAATTAAAAAAAACACCTTGTCAAAGAGAGTCAATCAGAAATCAGTAGTTTCAATTGGAGATGGCCAAAGTAATCATTTGCGTAGTCAAAGAAAGAGAACACTTCTTCCTTGGTCATTGATACATTCTCACCTATCGGCAAAGTCAGCCTACTAATACAAGTGTTGCCCATAGGAAGGCAAGATGGCATATTCGTATCAAAACAAATAGTGGGCTTCATTTGGAAACCCAGAACAGGCTCGTTCTCGTATCCAGTGATGAACTTTAAAATACAATGGAGAGATATATTGCCATCTAACCTTTTCCAGCTAAAAAGAGAAAAACACAATAATAGCAGTGCTATCATAAAGCTCTAAATCCCGATTCTTTTTTACGCGCTCTGTGGAAATTTCGATTGGCGAAAAGCAAAGTTACATTTGTCTAGCTAGCGATGATGTTTCTTAGACCAGACAAAAGAAACGACAGTTACCTTACACCTCTTTCAAGTAATTCAGGAAGAGTCTGTATGTTTTTTTTTCCCGCTGTCTTCGATTAGTCGCTTCGTCGGAAAAAATAGGGTCCAGCAGTTTCACCAGTTTGGGGTATGTCATAGGCAGCACTGTTGTCTTTCTGAAGAGGAATGAAAGACTCGGTTTCCCATGAAGGAGCTAACAGATTAATAGAAAAGCAAGATTCATGGAATCTATGTAAAATTGTTAGAGACTGTAGTCATAATTGAATTTGGTTTTCTTGCCTAAGTAAAGGGTGAAGACCGTCAGTTACAACCGGTCACCGTTAAAGCTTACCTAAACGAGTCTAAATCTCTCGAGTCCTACCCGAAATTGGGTTTCCGCTTCCCCCAGATTAGTCAAATCATCTTTTGTGAAGATTCGCTCAAGCTGGTCTTCAGCAAGGAAACTAAGCAAAGGACCACCTTGCAACAAACTGAAACCTGCAATAAAAAGGTAAATTTAAATTCTTGTGTGCTCAAGTGAAAATGACGTAGGTGTCTAAGTAGGCTTTGCATATTTACCAAAAAAGAGGCCAGCTCCATAATACTGTTTCCTGTCCAATGCTTCTTTTTTCTCAAAAAAAACGTAGCCTTCTCCTTCTTCTTTGAAGAGCTTGTCACGTATTTCGCGCATCACCATGCCCAAAAATTCCCGCCTTGGACCACCATAATCTTGAGAGCCCTCGTCGGTGAAGATCACCTCTAAAGGTACACTGAAATCAATCGCTGGCGGATCATCCCTCAATATCTTTTCCATTGCATCATCGAAGAGGCGGTAACGAGAGACAAATATCTCCGTGGTCTTTCCCTCACACAGTTCAGAGTCGTTTTGAAGGTCAAGCATTCGCCCTCGCTGTAACCTTCGCCTGAACTCCCCTAAGACTGTAACAGGCTCGTCACAAGTAGCCCTGAAATAAATTTGAAATGATCAAAGAGGCGTAACGCCCGTGAAATTTAAATAATTCCCAAAAGTATGCGGTGACACATGCGTTAAACCGGTCAACTAACGAGCAGTCGGCCCGATTGTATTTAGCTTCTTACACGAATAGTTGAGAGCCAAAGTCAAAGTAGTAAAATCAACTAACGGATCTCTGCACATAAAAGGTTGTGCTTAGCACATTATATCATTGGACGGACGCCTAATTTCCACGTTCCTTCCCTTAAAACGATATCACAGCAAACGTTCATACACACTAACACCAACTACACTGTAGGTTACGGAGAAGACAATCAAGCAGAATGTACCAAGCATAACTCTATCAATTAGTACTTACATAGCTTTTAATGTTTCCTCTGATGCATTTCTCATATGCTCCTCGTGCGGGACAGGTTCCCTAGGCAGATAGCAAGGAACAACTATTTGAGGGGGCTTTTAGCGGGATGGTAGAAGTTTTCATGCAATTTTCATGATGTTACAATCAACTGTAAATTAGTGTATGACGGCAGCAGCAGCGTATAATGGGTGTACACACGGTTAGTCCATAGAAAACGATACAGGATTGGCGTTTCATTCCCTTAGACGCACTTGAGAAACTCTTCAGCGCCTCCTAAATAATCAACCTCCACGGGTAATTTTAACATGGCTAAGAAACTCACTCTTTATTGGCAGCTGCTTCGCCAAGACTTATTGAAGCCTGTTCAGTACCAAGAGGAGGCTGTTCTGGCAGTTCCAGTGAATTCTGCTCAGTGCCACCAGGAGGCTGATCTGGCAGTTCTGCTGGGGTTAACTCGTTCTTCCTCTCTGAAATATTGATTATACTGGTGTAAAAAGACCACCTTCAGCCCTAGCACAATGCCCCATGTTAATGCCCCATGTTAATGCCCCATATATGATATTAATATAAAGTATAAAGTCACTGATATCTTAAAATTAATTAAAGCTAACAGTGCGTACAAAAGGAATTTCTAACTACGTGAAATACCGAAAACAACTTTTAGTACTTTCTAAAAGCGTGGAAACGATAACCACCATGAGAGTGGGGTGACCACTTCTACTTACCTCCTCTCTCCAAATGCTAGCGGCAGATCATCGTCGGATGTTTCTGCAGGCCTTGTTTCACCCTACAAACAAATTATTCCAAAGGAAAAAATTAAGTATGCGCAGAAGGCTCGATATTTTACCCAGAAATAGTCGCAAAAACGTCACCAGCAAAACACAAACCCGACACGTTTCCATATGGGCTCGCATCCCGCGCAGTGGGATAGACATATTCAGTACTGATTCTGCTATTCATCAAACCTCACAGGGACTCGATGAATAAAAACCACTTACTTCCCGAGCCAGTTATTTTGTCATTGTTCATTGACCTAGGTCGCCATACAGTTCTTCAAAATCCGTCGTTCTCCATCC